AAAAGCGCATCTAGATTAGCCACGGACGCTTTTTGCGGAAAACCATCTGTGCCAATCTAGATGCTCTTTTCCGAAAATGCTTTTAATGGAAAATTTTTCTGTTAAAAGCATTTCCAGAAAATCATGCCAGTCTAGACATAGCCTTACATTAAAAGTATTTGTGCAAACTCTTGCCAATGTAGACATAGCCCATGGGAAGGCGATGGACAGCCCTTGGTGGGGAAAGAACAAGTTAGGAATTATTTAGAAAAGCTAAACATACACAAATCCATGGGTCCAGATTTAATGCATCCAAGAATACAGAGGGTATGTCTACACTACCCTGCTAGTTCGAACTAGCGGGGTAATGTAGGCATACCGCACTTGCAAATGAAGCCCGGGATTTGAATTTCCCGGGCTTCATTTGCATAAGCCGGGCGCCGCCATTTTTAAATCCCGGCTAGTTCGAACCCCGTACCGCGCGGCTACACGCGGCACGGAGTAGCTAGTTCGGATTAGGCTTCCTAATCCGAACTAGCTGTACTCCTCATTCTACGAGGAGTACAGCTAGTTCGGATTAGAAGCCTAATCCGAACTAGCTACTCCGTGCCGCATGTAGCGGCGTGGCATGGGGTTCGAACTAGCCGGGATTTAAAAATGGCGGCGCCCGGCTTATGCAAATGAAGCCCGGGAAATACTGGAGGGCAAGGATAAGGTCCAGAGTGACCTGGACAGATTAGAGGATTGGGCCAAAAGAAATCTGATGAAGTTCAACAAGGACAAGTGTAGAGTCCTGCACTTGGGATGGAAGAATCCCAAGTATTGTTACAGGCTAGTGACCGAATGGCTAAGTAGCAGTTCTGCAGAAAAGGACCTGGGGATTGCAGTGGATGAGAAGCTAGATATGAGTCAACAGTGTGCCCTTGTAGCCAAGAACGCTAATGACATATTAGGTTGGTTGCATTAAGAGGAGCATTGCCAGCAGATCCAGAGATGTCATTATTCCCCTGTATTTGGGTCTGGTAAGGCCACATCTGTAGTATTGTGTCCAGTTCTGGGCCCCCCACTACAGAAAGGATGTGGACGCATTGAAGAGGATCCACTGGAGAGCGACCAAAATGATTAAGGGGCTGGAGAGCATGAACTATGAGGGAGACTGAGGGATTTGGGTTTCTTTAGTCTGGAGAAGAGAAGAGTGAGGGGGGATTTGATAGCAGCCTTCAACTTCCTGAAGGGAGGTTCCAAAGAGGATGGAGAAAAGCTGTTCACAGGAGTAACAGATGGCAGAATGAGGAGCAATGGTCTGAAGTTGTGGCAGGAAAGATCCAGGCTGGATATTAGGAAAAACTATTTCACTAGGAGGTTGGTGAAGGTTTTTAAGTCTCAGCTTGACAAAGCCCTTGGTGGGTTGATTTAGTTGGGATTGGTCCTGCCTTGGTCAGGGGGCTGGACTTGATGACCTTCTGAGGTCTCTTCCAGCTCTATGATTCTATGATCCATTCTTTCCTAGTTTTTTGGGTTCTGTAGTGCTAGGAGGAACTTGAACATTATCTGAACATGTAATGGAAAAAGGATGAATCTTTGATTCTGTGTAAATATTATTTTTAATTAACAAGTATGGTGTTTCTGACATCCAAAATGAAGGTAAAGAGGAGCAGATTAGTAGAATAGAAGATGGAAAAGTGCTACAATAAAGGTACGTCTGGACTGCAGAGCTTTCTAGGGATACCAGAGGTATCCCAGAAAAACTCTGCCAAGTCTAAGGAATGTGTCCGGTTTTCCAAAAAAAATGTCGGAAAAGTGGATGTGTTTTGTCAGCATCCCGATAAGCCTCATTTTATGAGGAAGAAGGGATTTTCTGAAGGAGGGTTTTTTCCTGAAATTTCACTCCATGTAGACGGGCCAAATTTCGGAAAAGCCTCTTTTGGAAGTTAATCGGAAAAAGGTATGCAATTTGCATACTGCAAATTGCATTTCTTTTTTCCATTTATCTTTATGGTTGAGACATAGCCTCAGATGACAATAAGACAATGAGAATGAAACAAAGGATGGACAGAAAGAACAAAAAGGGAATTAAGAGGAGTCTGTGGGGAGAAATATTTTCCATTGTATATTACTTTAAAAATCTTTATATCTTTTTCTATATACTTAGATTTTTAGGATCACTTCCCTACTTTTTGCTGTTAGAGAAAAATCAATTATTCAGAATTTTATTTAATAGAATACAATTAATTTTATTCCCTCTGCTTAATCAGAATAGTTTTGTGTAAATTCCAGTCACTGGGCCAAATTCAGTTCTTAGTTACTCTGGTGTAATCTCATTTGGCCTTGTATCCTTCTATCCTCTCTTATTTACCCACTGGCTGCGTCTAGACTGGCAAGTTTTTCCACAAAAGGAGCTGCTTTTGCGGAAAAAAGCCCCGATCGCCATTTTTCCGATCGAGGGTTTTTTGCGCAAAACAAATCTGAGCTGTCTACACTGGCCCTTTTGCGCAAAAGGACTTTTGCCCAAACGGGAGCAGCATAGTATTTCCGCAAGAAGCACTGATTTCTTACATGAGATCGTCAGTGTTCTGGCGGAAATTCAAGCGGCCAGTGTAGACAGCTGGCAAGTTTTTCCGCAAAAGCGCGTCTAGATCGGCACGGACGCTTTTCCGCTAAAAGTGCTTTCACGGAAAAGCATCCGTGCCAATCTAGATGCTCTTTTCCGCAAATGCTTTTAACAGAAAAGTTTTCCGTTAAAAGCATTTGCGGAAAAACATGCCAGTCTAGACGTAGCCACTATCTATAGCTACAGGTATAGCTATATAGATGTATAGATATATTTAAAACAAAATACAGGACTATGTAGCACTTTAAAGACTAACAAGATGGTTTATTAGATGATGAGCTTTCGTGGGCCAGACCCAATTCCTCAGATCAAATAGTGGAAGAAAATTGTCACAACCATATATACCAAAGGATACAGTTAAATCCTGTATATACTATATATAAATACTGGTATATACTGTATCCTTTGGTATATATGGTTGTGACAATTTTCTTCCACTATTTGATCTGAGGAATTGGGTCTGGCCCACGAAAGCTCATCATCTAATAAACCATCTTGTTAGTCTTTAAAGTGCTACATAGTCCTGTATTTTGTTTCAGCTACAACAGACTAACACGGCTACATTTCTATCACTATTCTAGATATATTTAGGCTTTTCTCTCTCATAAATCTGTTTCCTACTGCAGGGAAAAAAACTCTGAAGATATTTATGGAACTGGCTGAGTATATCAGTATGCACGTGACAATACATCATTTTGGATCATAATCCTGTTGCTGAAAATGTTGGAAAAGTCTGATCTGTTCATGGCTAAGACATCACTGAAATCTAGCCAACTACTGATACTGTATTTATTAAATAAGACTTTTTACTATTTTATTCGCTAGTATTTGTTATACAGATTGAACCTCTATGGTCCAGGTCTCCCTGGTTCGACAACCTCCGTGGTCCAGTGTTGCAGGACTAGAGCACCCCAGCAGCAGAGCTTGCCAGTGGCTCAGAGTGAAGTTGGCCAGCGGAGCAGCGGCCAACTTGATTAAAATCTTGCTTAGTTTGTTAGAGTTAGACTGTGTTTCTATTTTATTTTTTAGGTAAGCAACTTTGATTGCTTTGCTGCCTACTTATAATCACTTACAATCTATCTTTCTGTAGTTAAGGGTTGAAGTGCTTGGGGCAAACTTAGCTCATGTTAACAAAGGCTGTTGTATGTCCACTTTCCTATGAAGAAGCAGCAAACTAGGTAATGAGTTTATCCTCAGAGTCATGCTGTTCATAGGATGGTTCATGGCAGCCACTCCATGCCCCGTGATTTGGGGGACCCTGCAATGGCCCCCTCAACTGTCCTATGGACAAGACCCAGGACAACCTGGGGTGTTATTGGAGGGCCTGGCATGGGGTGGCAACAGGGGTCAGGCTCCTTCCTGCATTCACCACAACAGCAAGAGCTAGAGCGACCAGGCAGCCTACTCAGGGTCACCACCCTCTCCCAGCCCACTGTGCTTGGCTTCACTGTGGCAGCAGGAGGCAGAGCGCCCCAGCTGCAGGGCACTCCACTTCTCACTGCTGCTGACAAGCAGAACACAGTGGGCTGGGAGAAGGTGGTGGGGCAGAATCTAGAGACGGTCCTGTTTACACTGACCTGGCTTCTGATCAGTGCAATACAGTGCAGTTCTGGGGTGCAAGACTGGTGAGCTGGGGTGAACTGACTGAAGCCTCTCTTTATTGATGGTTCATGAGATGCTAGGAAATTATTCATGTAACTCATTTGGGTGTGTCCCTGCTTGTGGATGGCTGTATTAGTTCAGTGCCTGTCAGTGGCTCGTAGCTTGACATCACAATGTGAGAGGTTGGTGGGTTTGGAGGGCTCAGCAGTCCCACAGTCCAGTTTGCACCCTGTGGACCTTTTCACAATGGGTTTTCAGCTGATTTTTTAAAAACATAATGTGTATTATAATCAACTATCTACCCTGATTTCATTTGCAAACTTGTTACATATTCAAAACAGCACATGGTACCATAACTGCAATAGACAGGTTGTTCCAGAGAATTGCATATTTCAGATCAAAAACTTTATTGCCCTTTTCTTTATTAAATGCAAAATATGATAATGCAATGAAGTGATTGAAGTTTTGAAATACACACAAAAATTATTAGATCTCATACTCAAATAAACTTCCCAGTAAAGTATGCAGTCTTTGAAACTGTATGTCCTCAGGCTACCAGACTTTATTGCCCCCTTCCAAGGGCCCTCAGAAGGTGGGGAATAAATCATGTGATCTTCACAGGCAGGAGAGGCATCACCAATATTTCCAGGATTCTAGGATCATTCCTAGCATCTCAGTGACTCTAATCTTATGTGTAGTTATTTTCAATATACAGTTAAGACCAAATCCTATTAAGTCCCATGGGAATTGGATTGGACCTTGAAGCTGAAATGCCCATTACTTGCGCAAAGATCTAGTAAATGTGGTTCGTAAGGGTGAAGAATATTCAGTTCCAGAGTCATGAAGCATCTATGGAATCCCTCTGTGTCTGACACTACAGGTCCTGTACTGTTATAGGAGAATGCTATGCTCACCTTGTCCTAGGATTAAGACAATTTCTTTGCTAAAAACATACATAGGAAATTTGTGTCCCAAACTGAATTCTGATGGGAATGTTATAAACCACTGAGGGGGCTGATAGTGAAATTACAACTTCAACCACAGTATGTACATGAAGCTACTGAGTAATACTCTGATCATATTGACTGAGCATCAGAAAATCAGTCAGTGACTGATTCAGTCTCTAAATCCCCCCCTATGGTTTTCTTTATCCAGAGGAGATGTGTCTTTGTAAGACGAGCGTAGACACCTGGGCCTTGGATAGTACCACACTTTAACTTGCCAAAGGAGGTGATGCCTGTCAATTCACCATTACATATCAAAGGACCACCAGAATCCCCCTAAAGGAGAAAAAGACAAACTTGACATTAGAATTGACAGCTTGAAAACATTAGAATTGACAGCTTGTAAACTGGTACATGTGTGTGTCTTTAGACAAGGTCTGAGAAAATGTTCAGAAATCAATTCTCCTGTTGTTTATTCCTAAGAATATATATTCTGTAATTTTTTAATAAAGAAAAGGTTTGAATACAATCAATTCATTTGTGAATTAAATAGAGACCATATCTAATTTAATAGTAATGAACATATTGTTTTGTAATCTGAAACAAACTGGAAACTTTACCCTTTGAATGAAGAAAGTGTATGGAAATTAAAATTAAATCTAATCAAAAGTAAAACTTCTGTGTGGAATAAAAAAATTAGTAATGTACTTGCTTGGGTGTGTATAATACAGATAGTACAGTGTGTTAAACGCTTTATTGCGGGACAGAAAAGCTTTTCTGACAATGGACAAATCTTTTGAAATCACCAATAAATCACACCAAAATATTACTAGACAAATTTGTTGAGAGGTGTGATTTTCCAATAACCCATTTCTTTTACTAATAGAAGCTATATGGCTAGTCATAAGATATAGGAGTGATGTCTACAGTGAGAACTCATTTATTACCTGCGAAAAATGTGAGTACTAATATTTTTATAAAAGTCCATTTGCTGATGGATGAGTCCACTTATAACAAAAAAGACATAATATTTAATATTAAATATTTAACCGACACTTCATAAGAATGGCCAGACTGGGTCAGATCAAAGGGCCATCTAGCCTAGTGTCCTGTCTGTCCACAGTGGCCAATGCTAGATGCCCCAGAGGAAGGGAATACAACAGGTAATCCCTCTCCTGTCATCCATTTACACAGAAACAGAGGCTAGAGACACCATCCCTACCCATCTTGGCTAATAGCCATTGATGGACCTAACCTCCAAGAATCTATGTAGCTCTTTTTTTAACCCTGTTAAAGTCCTAGTTTTCACAACATCCTCTGGCAAGGAGTTCCACAGGTTGACTGCGCAGCATGAAGAAAAACTTCCTTTTGTTTGTTTTAAACCTGCCGCCTATTAATCTCATTTGTTGACCCTAAGTTCTTATATTATGGGAACAAGTAAATAACTTTTCCTTATTCACTTCTTCCACATGTCATGATTTTATAGACCTCATCATATTCCCCCTTATTCTCCTCTTTTCTAAACTGAAAAGTCCCAGTCGCTTTAACCTCTCCTCATATGGGACCCGTTCCAAACCCCTAATCATTTTAGTTGCCCTTTTCTGAACCCTTTCCAAGGCCCAAATATCTTTTTTGAGGTGAGGAGACCACATCTGTACACAGTATTCAAGATGTGGGCGTACCATAGTTTTATATAGGCGCAGTAAGATATTCTGTGTCTTATTTTCTATCCCTTTCCTAATAATTCCTAAAACAAAATACAGGACAATTTAGCACTTTAAAGACTAACAAGATGGTTTATTAGATGATGAGCTTTCGTGGGCCAGACCCACTTCCTCAGATCAAATAGTAGAAGAAAATAGTCACAGCCATATATACCAAAGGATGCAATTAAAAAAAGTGAACACATATGAAAAGGACAAATCACATTTCAGAACAGAAGGGAGATGCAGGGATGGGGGAGGAAAGGAAGGTGAATAATTCCTAGCATCCTATTTGCCTTTTTGACCGCCGCTGCACACTGCATGGAAGTTTTCAGAGAACTGTCCACGATAACTCCAAGATCTCTTTCCTGATTTGTCGTAGCCAAATTAGCCCCCATCATACTGTACGTATAGTTGGGGTTATTTTTCCCGATGTGCATTACTTTACACTTATCCACATTAAATTTCATTTGCCATTTTGTTGCCCAATCACTCAGTTTGGTGAGATCTTCTTGGAGTCCCTCACAGTCTGCTTCTATCTTGACTATCCTAAACAGTTTGGTATCATCTGCAAACTTTACCACCTCACTGCTTACCCCTTTCTCCAGATCATTTATGAATAAGTTGAAAAGGATTGGTCCCAGGACTGACCCTTGGGGTACACCACTAGTTACCCCTCTCCAATCTGAAAATTTACCATTTATTCCTACCCTTTGTTTCCTGTCTTTTAACCAGTTCTCAATCCAAGAAAGGACCTTCCCTCTTATCCCATGGCCATGTAATTTACACAAGAGCCTTTGGTGAGGGACCTTGTCAAAGGCTTTCTGAAAATCCAAGTATACTATATCTACTGGATCCCCCTTGTCCGCATGTTTGTTAACCCCTTCAAAGAACTCTAATAGATTAGTAAGACAGGATTTCCCTTTACAGAAACCATGTTGACTTTTGTCCAACAAATTATGTTCTTCTACATGCTTCACAATTTTATTCTTTACTATTGTTTCGACTAATTTGCCCGGTACTGAAGTTAGACTTACCGGTCTGTAATTGCCAGGATCGCCCCTTTTTAAATATTGGTGTCACGTTGGCTACCTTCCAGTCATTAGGTACAGAAGCTCTACATGCTTCACAATTTTATTCTTTACTATTGTTTTGACTAATTTGCCCGGTACTGAAGGTAGACTTACCGGTCTGTAATTGCCAGGATCGCCTCTAGAGCCCTTTTTAAATATTGGTGTCACATTGGCTACCTTCCAGTCATTAGGTA